CACACACACACACACACACACACACATGCACTCTCTCTCTCTCTTTCTCTCTCTCTTTCTGTCTCTCTCTCCTTCTCTTTCTCTCACACTCTCTCTCTTTCTCTATGTCTTTCTTTCTTTCTTTCTTTCTTACTTTCTCAAGACAAAAAGGTGGGAATTTTAGGACAGCAAAGAAAGATATATACGAGCAGCAGAACCTGTGTTATGTTGTTGCTTTTGTCTTCAAATCCCTTTAGCTGCGAGCATTTCACTCTTGGTAGCGCAATGCCTCCCTTAAGTAACAACATGTCCTTGTCATCTGGTCAACGCCAGAGTAGAGCAGGCTTTGTAAGTCTGTGGGTGTGTGTAGGAGCCTGCGTCGAAGAACTGCCAGGTTTGGGCAGTGAAGGAGAAGATGTTCACGGGGTCCTCGTGGTAGTCACAGTGTTTGCAATGGGGTTCCCGCATGGGTTTAAGAACCTGTGGTAAAACAGTGACTAAATCTGTGTGGGCGACTTACTTGACCAGATGTGCCACGCCCTCACACGATGACCTTGACACGTTCTGACCGTTAATCTTGACCACCTGGTCTCCTGTCCTGAGGCCCGCCTGCTCGGCCGGTGAGGCTGTGGAGGTACAGACAACACATTCACTCTCAATAGGTTTCAGTAAGAGTTTTACAGTACTCGCAGCAAACATTTTCGATTCTATTTAAAATATTGTTGATACGTACTTTTGTTATGATTTATACAGTTTTCACGAAAGTTTCTTATGTAAATTATGTAAATTTGATGTGATGTGGGGCAATGGCCTCAAGCACTGAATAAGAATAAACCTACATTAAACACCCACAGGAATAGTAAGCAGGCGTCAAGTGTGCAAAGGCTTGGTTGTTGGAGGAGGAGGAGGGCGGGGGGTGGGGGGTAAACCTATCTTTTACCTGAAAGTACGAGATAGATGAGAAACAGAAAGTCCGAGATATGAGGAAGAGAGGGGAATAGAGACAAAGAGAGAAAGATACAGTCACACACACTCACGCGCGCCCGCGCACATACAGAGAGAGAGAGAAAGAGAGAGAGAGAGAGAGAGAGAGAGAGAGAGAGAGAGAGAGAGACGAGGAGAGAGAGACAGACAGACAGACAGGCAGACAGACAAACAGACAGACAAACAAACAGACAGACAAACAGACAGACAGACAGACAGACAGACAGAGAGATAAACAGACAGACAGACAGACAGACAGTCACTGACCTTTGTCCACCCGACCAATCTTGGGCGGAAGTTCCCCCACAAAGGAAAAGCCGTAACCGCTCTTACCCCGGGGTACTGAGATCTGTGGAAGGGGAGACAAGTTGGCCAATTTGGGCTTAACCAAAACAAACAAACAAACAAACAAACAAACAAACAAACGAACAAAGAAACAAGTTGGCCATTTTGGGGTCAACTAAAACAAACAAACAGACAAACAAAGAGACAAGTTGTACAATTTGGGCTCAACCAAAACAAACAAACAAACAAACATACAAACAAACAGGCAAAGAAACAAACAAACAAACCAAACCAAACCCACACATTTTCGAGCAAAAGTAAAATATAGCCATCCTAGAAAAATATGCCATAAGGCCACCACCCACGAAGAATTCAAAATCGAAAAAGATTCTTACCATAATAGATAATCCTTATCACATCTGTAAAATAGTACGACATTCCTTCCACCTATCTAATTTCAAAACGTACTGGCGATGTTTCTGCTTTGGAGCATATCAAGGAAGTCAAGACCTGAACTGAACAGAGGGGAGTAGTACTTTCGCAATCTACCTTCTCTATGTCTACCGGCCAGGCAAAGCTATATCATGTATACTGGGTTGGGTTTTTGTTTCTATTCTTGTATGTGAATTATGTAGCCTACAAGTTGGCCACTATCTGCCACAAATGCTACAATTATTGCATGCATGGTAATTTGATAATGTGTCATCACATTTATCATCTCTGTTAAAAGAGTACTTTCCAACACAAAATTTAGGGTTATCAGCTGACAAAAAAACATTTCTTTTACCATAAAAGCGTGAAAGGGCAATTGTATATATTATGTAGGCCCCAAAATCAGGAATGCTTATCCCAATAGTTCAAGAGAGATCAAATCTTTTTATTCCTTCAACTAGATTACTGTCAGAACACAGTGTGCAGTGTATATGTTATTGTTGTATTGTAAAGCACTCAGAGCCTGTGTGCTTTAATTAATCGGGTTTGAATGCTAAATGGCTATGATATAATATATTATTATTGCTAAGTGCAATGTTTGTTAATCATTTTTTTGGATGTATCTGTAACTCCTCATGAGTCCACTTAAAAGCACCAGCCACTCACCACAACTCTTTCATTTCCCTCCACCGCCTGATTGATCTGAGGAATGCTGTGGCAATCTGCAAGAGAAATTATGGAGTCATATTTAGTACTTAGTTACTTTTAGACCACAGACATAATATTACGGTCGTTTTTGAGCACAAGGCGGCTATCCCGAAAAAAAGGCTGTTTTGACAAAACCTAAGGTAAAGTTTTTGACCCTTGTTCAGTTTCTTTAAAAGACAAGGAGAATTTTCTCTATAACCAAACAAATATACACATCAATGAAACCAAACTTCTCTTATAGGTAGGGCAATGCCTACTTTTGGTGAAGGTAAAGATTTCGGGAAACCCCCAAAATCTGGGTTAGCCCTCTTGTCCTTAAAATCGACCATATTTGCCTATTTAAAAGTAAAAAGGTTGTATTGATAAGCTGTTATGCTTCTGCCATGGCGTGAAATAAATGAATTCGAATTTTTTTAAAGCGTTCTCAATAACAATGTCAACAAAAACATTTTGGGTATTAAGTAGACGCAGATACACAAATGCAGTTCATGCACACATACACTCTCACACACACACTCTCGTACTTAATACCTCCTCCATAACACACACACACACACACACACACACACACACACACACACACCCACCCCCATAACCCGACACACTCACCCTCGTACAAACATGCTCACCCACATACACAAAAACACACATATAAACACCTTCATACACACATACAAAAGTGTATACACAAACAATCGAGAAAAAAAGATCTACAGAATATGAAAGTAAAGGCAAATATGATTAGGTAAGTCAATGAGAGATGGGTTGTACAAAAGAAAATTGAAATAAAATGAAATGAGGAAGGCTAAGAAAGGGTCAAAGTTAATATTCTAGACTCTCTATCTCTCTCACCCC